AAAAAAAAAAAAAAAAAAAAAAAATTGAGAGATACTGATATCAAACTCCCATTTGAAATATGAGGGCCTTTTAATTCAAGGCACAGTTCGGGAGCTTGGAGCATGTTGTGGATGACCTAGCACTCACCAGTCTAGTAGGAATTGGTGGTCTTAGTTGACGGAGCAGGCTGTGTCGCTGTGGAGTTTGCATCCTTCTCCAGGGCCCTTTTCCCCAGACCCATGGGGGAATAGGGAAGTCACTCCAAGCTAGAAAGTGTCGAAGAAGAAGGTAAGAAACAACCTTTCTAGCCTTGGAAAACCTGTCCCTGCTTTTAATAGAATGATTGCCTTTTTATAGGAATTATAGTAGTGAACCCCAGGCTGCCGCTGAATTTCCTACTTTCCTCATTCTCTAAGATGGTTCTTATCCAGCATGTGGTTTCAGGAATTCGTTTTTTAGTTTGAAAATGAATGTGAAACACTTTATTTGGATTCTTTTTGTTGTTGTTTGTGTGTAACCCTCGTCACTATTTTTTTGTTATTATTTTTACAAATCAAGTAATACATATCCTAAAATTTGGCACTCTATGTTAACTATGGAGGCAAATAAAATTTAGTTTTAATCTGTGGTGAGCTGAATGCACTACAACACCTTCGAAGTAATCTGCTCAGGTGGTTTCATTCTATTGAGTCTCATGCTGCCTACAAAACACCACTACAATTTACTGGTGTTTCAATTTTAAGGAATAAAGATATAAGTAAACATACAAGTTGGAAATGTTTCTTTAGAAAGGCCACCCAGAATAGCGATATCTGTTGCAATCGTCCAAATGCAATATGAAATTTCCTAGGTGCTATTATAAACGGTGTGGTGTCATTATACCAAATGCAAAAGTAGTTACAGTATTTCTGAAGTTGGAGTTCTCTGTAGGCTTTTCAAATACACGTTTGTGTTCCGTATAGGTTTGCTCACCACTGGTTAAAACTGAATTCAAGCCCCATTGACACAAATCATTTATTGATTGAACTCTTCAGTTTTTACACTGGAATTTCTATAGTTGTCTTAAAAGCTGCATGTCATATCACTGTACACAGAGTGCTTTGATATTATTCATGCACCATGGATAGTGATTTCTGTGTCATTTTTATTTTCAGTTGTACAGTACTATGGAAGGCAAGATGTCTTTCCTAGAGGCTGGAAGAAAAGTGTATCGTACATTTTAAATTTATTTTAGAACAAGTGCATGAGATGTGTCACTGATTTCTGTTATTTATTTGTATGTTTTATTATTCAAAGTGTATGCACTTTTAAGAAGCAGAGTTTATATTTTTATGTTTGAAACGTTTTATTTCTGAAACAGCAGTTGATTATATAGCATACAGTTGGAATTAAGAGAAAAGTGGAAATGTAACAAAATATAATAAATTTATTACATGATGTCCTCTCCAAGCCACATTCCTGTTTTCTCCCCCTTGCCAACCAATATCTTTTTGGCGTTGACTAAAATTGATAATTGTAGTGCATCAGTCTTTACAGAATGCCTAAAAATTGCAGTGTTTAATTTAAAACACAAGTTACGGAAAGATGCATACATATGTTCTCTGTGTAAAAGTTTAAAACAAAAAATCACATCCATGCTTGTAAAATTTTCACAATCAGGGATGGTTATTCCTATTTCCTCAGAGACAGTTTGTCCTGGGCCATGGGTATGGACAAAAAATCACATTCTGATTCAGTGCAACAGATTTTCAACATTTTGCATTATCTTCCCTCTTTTGCTAAACATTTATGATGGGAAGAAATAGTTATATAAGGACCATTCTTTCTGGGCTGTCTCATATCTGGGATATTTAGTATCTTTGTTAACATTTTTCCAGCTGTCTTTCCCAACCTTCAGGACAGAACTCCTGACATCACCTGTGGCCACTTGGGGGCACTAAAGATCGATATTATCAAATGCGTTTAAAAAGTCCAGCCTGCAGGTTGGCCTCTTAGTAGGGAAGTGTTCATTCAGTATGAGTTGAGGAGTATGGGATCAGTGAGCAGGGGGTTTCTGTTTAGGGGAGTGTCACCAGCCATTATTTTATTCCCAGGAAGTGTTGAATACCGATCAGGGCAGATTTTGTTTTCCCAAAGCACAGCATTGTGGTTTAGGGTTGGGGAGGGGGGAGTTGATGTTCCTGACAAGTGTGAACCACATGCCGTGCTAGGTACAGCACTTCTAAAGCTCTCTAATTTTAAATGATAAGATTTTGCTTTAGGTTCTGTTAGAGAGTTTAACCATGTAGTACACTGATTATTCAAGAGGCTTCATTATGCCACCAAGTCTTCACATGTCATAAAATATGTAGATTTAATAGTTATGCAAATATTTAAGGATCATTTTGCCTGTCATCTTAGGATTTGGAAGATTATTTTCCAATACTTGAGTGGTCATCGTCTCTCTCAATACTTTTTGGGTCCCTGTAAATCTTCCTGAAAAAAGCAAAGTTGTGATAACACCCCTTGCCTGGGGCTGCATGTTCCTGTGTGTTAAACTGCCCCGTGGCTGATTCTAGGACACTGACTGTTGGATGTGGCGTGAAGTCCTCCCCACCCCAGTATCCCCTTTGTCTTTCCTAGCTGGGTTCTATGTCATGTATTCTAATTCTGTGTACATCATCTAACATAACATGTTGAACAGTTAATATTCACTTTGATTTACTAATACATTTACTTTCCATTGCTCTTTACTCCTTCCTGGGTTCTCCCAGGTTTATGCCCCAGGTTTCTTCTCTGCAGCCTTGTTCTCTTCTCAGGCCTGTCCATGAGTGTCATCTGGTAGGTTTCATCTTTCTGGGTGGGCTGAGTCTACCTTGTGCAAAACCCTCTGGAATTTGGTCTTGATTTGGTCTGGTGTTAGCTATATTTTTTATCCCCTGCTAACACCTGCTACGCACAAAGGACAAGTGTTCTCCTCTTCCTTGCGGTACATTTTTGCATTATGTCATATAACCCAGTGGCCTTGCACCCGTTTACTGCTTTCAGGGATTTGACATCAGTTTGACTTGCTCTTTGGATGTCTAACACTTCCATTTTTCTTGTGGAATGCAGAAAGATGGTGCAAATGATACTGCAGTGCCTAGTTGGAATCAGGCCTCCCTGCCCCTGTGGGGTCTCAGGGATCTTGCATCCAGCTCACCCCGCTGTGCCTTTCCTTTGTTTAGGAGGACTCCTGAGAGAGGCCCTCAGTGCACAGATCCAGTTCCAGAGACACAGGGATATGGGTGTCATACATCTTTCCCCTCTGAGAGTGTGGAGTGGACAGCAAGTGGGGATTGTGCAGTGGGGACTGAGGATGGATGGCACCAGCCTCAGGGTTCCAAGTCCATAAAAGTTGTGGTGGCGAAGGTGCCCCTTGACTGTCTTAGAATTGGAGTCCAGGTTCCTTCATTTAGCAATGCCTCCTGTGTGCCCAGCTGCTGGGGATATGATCATACTTGGAGGAGCTCACTGGCCAGTCAAGGTTGGCCAATAGATAACATTTCATCAAATTTGCCACTTATTCCCTGCTCGTCCCTCAAGGCATTGTCCCTACAATGCTTTTCTCTAAGATGCCTGCCTGGCTCATTCCCTCATCTCCTCCCCATCTATACTCAGATACCACTTTCTTTACTGAGGCCTTCCCTTACCACCCTTTTAGAACACCGCAACCTGCTTCACACACTCTCTGTCCTCCCTGTTTTATTTTCTGCATATCACTTATC